TACACACTTTTTACGTCAAATAAGTCGGGAATGTGACAAAATCTCTGGATCTACTAGATTCCTCTTGATCTCCCAAGCTTCCTCTTTCTTCTCAAGCTTCAAAAACACACAAAATCCCTCAAGAATGGCTCTCACATTTGGAAAATGCTCTAGGGTTTCAAGTTAGGGTTTTCTGGACTAATGGAGACGATGAAGGCTGGGAGGAAGGCCAGATAAAGTGTTTAAATAGGGTGCAAACCCTAAAATTTAGGGTTTCATCCAGACAGGTCTACTCGTCGAGTCAGGGCTTCCGACTCGGCGAGTAGACTCTTCACCCGCGTCCAAGATTCGCCTTTTACTCGACGAGTTGGGGCCTCCAACTCGTCGAGTCCCAGTGTAAAAATGCAAAAATTCATATTTAAAATACGTGCCGGGAACCAGGCATTACATAACAACTACCTGAACAATAGAATAGCCAACCCAAGCTTCCTAAAGCGAAACTGAAACCAATCCTTAGTCAAATGCTCAATTCTACCCAAGTTTTTACCAAAAGTCAAATTGGTTAAAAGTTAACGGTCAAATCTAAGGTCGGAATTTCCAACAACAGCCCTCTACGTCGTGGCCTTCCTTTGCCACGTCATGGGCACAAATGCCAAAGCAGTCGTTGATTCCCAAGTTTCCACGTCGTAGCAGCCTAAGGCCATGTCATAGGTATTGGTCTGAACAGCTCAAATGAGCTTAATCCATTTTCTTCTGATTTTAAGATCTCCAAAGCTCGTATCTAAGCCTTTCCAAGGACTTAATGGATAAAGTTTCTAAATTTACCCGTTAGGAAGGTCCAAACCACCAAAATATAGACTTTATGTCTCAAAGGGACCCAAAAATGCATCTTTCTTAACTTAATCCATTAAGTCCAAGTCTCCAACTTTCATATCTAAATCAACAAGGTTTCTAGATGGATAAAGTTTCCAACTTTATCCATATAAGTGTCATAATCTTTCAAGATCTAAACTTTAATACACCAAAATGGCCTAAAGGACCAAGATAACTTAGATGGCTAAACGGGAAGGCAAAGGATCACAACTTTCCTAGTCCATGAGGTCGAAGAAACATTCCAAATTGATGAAAATATGTTGGAGTCCACTCAACTCCAGTATCACCCATAAAATGGACGAAAAGTGCTAAAAACCCTAAATGAGAAGATCTAAAGAACTAGATAGCAAGATTGGTACTTTATACTTACAATAGTCCAGAAATGTAGTGTCTTTCTTGGATCCGAACTTGAAGCATCTTTACTTGCAACCAAAAGAACCTTCTTGATCTTTAAACTTCATCAAAATAACATAAAAAGCATCAAAAATAGGAGAGATGAGAGGGGAGAAGCTCAAATTTTGAAGGTGGAGACTGGGGTTTCTCCCAAGGGGTTCTAGAGGTGATAAAGGCTAAGAAAATACCCTAAAACAGTGAGAACGGGTTTTCACCCAATTCCATTCCAACTTCAAACAGTCATAACTTCTTCGTTTCAACTCCATTTTCAGTAATCTTTATATCTACATAAAGGTATTGATAAGCCCCATACTTCTACCTAGTTAATTTTGGCTTAACGTATGTCGAACTAAAATCCATAATCCATGCAAGAATCCTAACATATAACTTTTCCCACTTTACCCCTTGGCACCAAAACACAAACCAAGGGCTTAGAACACATAACCAATATTATCAACATCCAATAGGGTCTAAACCCTATCCCCTTTAAGCCCTAGGCCTTTACTTGATCCATTTATTTCCCACAATCCCGAAATAAGAAACTTCTCGAAATAGGATGTTACACGGTGTCTTGCATCCAAATAATGGATCCTACCTATCACATTTGATGTACGCAGATGACGTTATGTTTATCGGTCAATCAAAAATTTTCCTAATCTAAAAATATTGCTTAGATGTTTTCATCTCTTTTCTAGTATAAAGGTTAATATCACAAAAAGTAGAGTCTTTGGTTTTGGAATTGATAACATTGAGCTTTCTCTGATGGTAAACCTTCTTAATTATGAAGCTAGTTCGTTACCTTTTACTAACCTAGGGATCCCGATTGGTGCAAACATGAATCTGAATTGACATTGGAAACTGATTGTTGACAAGTTTTAAGAAATATTAAGCAACTAGAAAGCAAAAGACCAACACTACTCAAATCGACTCTCGGGAGCATACCACTTTGTTTTCTCAATCTTCCAGGCACAAAAAAAATTGTTCCCTTAAAGGAATATAGAGAAACTTTTTATTGAGCGGGGGAGAGAACAAGAAGAGTATTAATTGGGTTGCTTAGAAAAGGCTTGTATCTCCAAAAAGTATGGGAGGTCTTGGGATTATTTGTCTCATGAACTTCAATCTGGCGTTGCTAGCAAAATGGTGGTGGAGGATTAAAAGGGACAAAAAATGCTTATGGTCTCAAAAAATTAAAGCGATTAACAAATACACACGACATGATAATTGCGCTCTATCTATAAAACAATTTATGGGCGTTTGGTTAAATATTGCAAGCATACAACAAGACTGGGTGGAAAAAGGGGTGAACCTTCCAGAATTATTCGAGAGGAAAGTATTATGTGGAGTAAGTACATTGTTCTCGAAAGACTCTTGGATTAGAAACATACCTTTCAAGACTCGTTTCCCAAGATTTACACCGTCGAAGCGGAAAAAAATGTTTAGTTTCAAATCGGCTTAACGTTGGTGAAAACTCTATAATTTCATGGAGTTGGAATTGGTAGAATCCTCTTAGGAGAGGTGCCGAAAGCATAGAATTGACCTTATTGAGTTATTAGATACTCATAAGGTATTTTCTAATAATGAAGACTCTTGGTCATGGTCGTGTCGTTCAAATGGAACATTATGGGTAAAATCTTTATGTGATAAAATTGACTGAAGGTCATATACCTTATGTCCAGTAGAATTTTTATGGAATCCAATTCTCCCAATCAAGGTTAACTGTCTTATTTGGCAGTTGTTTCTAAATCGGATTCCGACTGCAAATAATCTGGTTTCCCATGGTGTTAATCTAGATTCGATCTTGTGCACCATCTATCGAGTGGTTGAGGAGTTAATGGACCATTTGTTTGTTAAATGCTCTCATGCAAAACAAGTCTGGAATTGGAGTTTTCACTGGTTGTGTCTAAATGGTGTACATATTGCCTCAATTAGTGGTGTCATGGTTGTCCTCAAATCTATATATGCTAATGAAGTTAAAAACAGGAAAACCACATATGCATTATTCAGATTCTTTGGAAGGCTAAAAATGAAGCATTGCACAGAAAGGCGAATATTACCTATTAGAAAGTGATAAAAGATATAAATTTGTGTCTCTTTTCTTGGGTAAAGCATAGAGGAAAGTGTCATAATTTGGATTAGATTGTTTGGGGTCAATCGCCTATCATTGCAAGCAAAATGTTTCTTCAAGATTAGAATTATTGCAACTTTACAAACTGGGATTTAGGGTAGGTGAGGGTGGGTTAGATTTTTTTCTTTGGTGTTCTTGGTGTGTGCCGCTCTCTTAGCCCTGTCAAATATCATGTGTGTATTGGCGTATGTTTTTCTTTACAATATGGGTGGATTATAGTTGGTAGTAGAGCTTTGGGTTTGGTGTAGTTGCTCTTCTTTCGACTATTGTTCTTTTGTGTTGTATTGTTTATCGGGGCGGGTTTGCTTGGTGTGCGTTTTTCTTCTGTATTGTGTATGTGTTGCAGGTTCATCATGGATCCGGTTATTTTCATATTGTGTTCAGGCTAGGGTATTCTCGAATTTGCCTCTGCACAACTCTTTGTCTTTATTGGGTTCTACTTTGGTGTTGCTCTGGTCTGTCTGCTGCCAGTGCCCCTTGAGAGTTAACCGGTGTAGTTTGTTTTTTTTATTTCTTTTCCTTTTTTGTGCTCTTTTGAGTTTGATGTTGTTTGTAATTTTTTTGTTATACTTTTGTTCAGTCTCATGTTGGTTTTTTCTTTTCTTTATATAGTTTTCATCGTTGTTCAAAAAAAAAATCGTATTTCTTCAAAAAAATTATTTTGATGTAATATGCTCCACATTTAATGATTGTGTAATATGCTCCATATTTAATGATTTAATAGAATGTTTTACATACTTGAATCCATTGATTGAATGAGGTTCATGAATTGTTCTTAAAAAACTTCATTTGTTCGCTTCATTGTAGATATGGGAACCTACAAGTTAAGGCATCATTTAACAAAGTTTTCATTTTTTTTTGGGTTATGGGTATGTTTGATAAAAATAATTGGAAGTTGTAACTTCATTTGTATAAAAGTGTTTTTCAAAGTAGTTGTAAGCTTTTGAAAAACTTAAAAGTTCATAAAAGCTTTCAAAATCTAATAAAAATCGTTTTAGATTAAGATTTTTTTATTTTAATATAAAAGTAAAAACTTCAAGCTCATAGTCCCTAAGAAACTTTTTTTTTCCTTGATTCGAGTTATTAAAAAGCTTAAAGCTAAAATTTCTAGAAGCTCTGAAAACTTCATTGCCAAACAGGCTCATGTATATAATATCGCAAATCATATTGTGAGACAATTTTTGCATATTAATATTGTTAAAGTAAAAACTAACTATAGAAAGTAGAAACCATAATAACAACTATGAGTTTTGAAGTTAATAACTATTTATCATTTTATTCAACAGTTTGAATACGAAAACGAACTCTTCTTTAAGATATGAATACTTATTTTGATGAATAGCTATCTGATTCATTTGAAAGAAAAAATAAAAATGGGAAATACATGACATATACACTCAAAGATCGTATACCTTCGTACCAAATCAGTACAAACTCGTCAAAATTACATGAAAAACCAATTTCACACGAGTATATTTGAACATTCAAGATAGACCGAGCAAACAAAATGGCAATTCAAAACAAATTATTCTAACATAACACTCCAAATAAAGGGTTATACAACCATATAACATATAATAAAGAAAAAACAAAAATCAAACCTTAATTATATGAACCAGGTGATTTTCAATCAGAGTTGATGATCTTCATCACACGAATCAAAAAGCGACCTCCCACCATGGGAGATGTCGGCCATGGGTCCTGCAACTGGAGATGAACGAGGTGATGAATTATTATTCGTAGAAACCATTAATGCCAACGATCCTTCACTCCAAGCTCGTCTAATAGGATACGCAACATTGGTCGCCGGGAAGACATGAGAGCATTTTCCACGCATCTTGTGGAGGGCACAGTTACAGTTACGATGATATGGTCTTCTTGTGATCTCCATATCACCTCTGATACATCCTTCAAATCCACCACCACGGAAAAACCCATCTCCGGCAGCTGTTCCGGAGGCCATTCTTTGTCTTAGACACCAACCAGTTGATGATACGATTCAGTTTTCCTCTCGCTTCTTCTGTTTTCCAGTTTGGAAGCTGTCACTTGTTTATCGGGGTTGTTACAGTATTACCTACAAACTAGACCTGTTTTTAGGCCAGTTTAGAGATTGTGTGTGTTAGAGAAATGGTCTATACATATTTGTGGTATGTAGGGCATGTCATTCTCTTACTTTAAGACGAAATGTATTAGTTAAGTTTCTTCTTTATTTTAATTAATCGTTACATTTCTATTTCTTCTAAGAATTAATTACGATAGTCTTTTTAATTGTATGGTTTATCATTAATGTTTAAATTGTGAAACACGTTAATTTTGTTGTAGAAGATTCTCTTATTTATCATTATTGAATGATAATTTATATATGTACGTAAACACGCACAGACAGTATTTTTACAAAAAGTCAAAAACAAATTCAAAATTTTGATAAATAAGATCTAAATTTGAACAAAATGCCTCGTATATGAATCCATGTGGCAATATTTTGAGAATGTTCCAAGATAAATATCAAATGAATGAAGTTCAATCAAAAGTACTAATTGCTTGCCAATAAACACCGAATTTATTTACCAAAAGACGTACTAAACTGCTAAAGTACATTAGAATATTTATCTTTAACTAATAGAAAAAAGAAGTATCGACATATTTGACTATTGAATTCTCAAATTTAGTTTTATTTAGTTCTTAAAGATTTGATCACGTTAAGTTAGACCTTTAAGTCTGAATTTTGGTTCGATTTGCCCTTGCGGCCTCCTGAAGCTATACGTGACATCCTAAATTAGAGCATGAACTTCTGATCATGATAAATTAAACCTTAAACTCTGAAATATTTTTATTTTTTATTTATTAAAACCAAACTCAGTGTTAAGTGTTTTTAATTTTATTTTTTTGATTTCTTACTCAAAACTAAATCCGGTTTTAAGTTTTTAAATTTTTAAATTTTTTTTAGTATGTTTTTAACTTTTTTCGTTTTATTTTTCATCAATTTGATAACTATTTTTTTTATCTTTTTCAAAAATTGTAAAGTGTATGAATATATTAGAATATATTACAATTTCAGTCCTTAAGTTTTTTTTTTTTTTTTGTTACTTATAGTTTTAATGTTTTTAATTTTTTTATTTTGATGCAATTAAATGAAAAAATTATAACTTCAAAGGAATAAAAAAATATAATGAAATACAAGTTGGACGAAAATTAAAAATATAGGGAAAAGATTTTTTAAATGATTTTTTTTTCCAAATGGTTTACAAAATAATCAAGGAGGATGCGATGTGTACAATCAGCCGGAGCCAATAAGTAGACCTCAAAATACCATACTGTTATTTGATATTGTGATATGTTAGAACAACATGCTAGTGATAGGCTAGGGATCTTCAGGATTTTGCATGATACAATTGTCTGATTATATGATGTCTGATATCCAAGGGTTCTTATTTAATGGAATTGACATCATTACTGTAGTTGCTTAGTGTATGCATCATGGTTATGCATAACTAAGATTCTATAGCATGAGAATATTTGGTTTGGCCTTATTTCCTGTTCTTGTTTGATGAAGGGCTTAGAGTAAGATCAAATATTCGACTGTCTATAGGGTCTAGTGTTATGTATGACTAGCTTACACGAGTGATGCAGGGTTGGTGGAAGTTTCATGGATGAGTTATGTGGGGTCAGCCGGCCAGTTTCGAGATGTTTAGCCTTTCATCTAAGGAGTGGATATTATGTGTATGATTATGCTAGTGTGTATGGTTAGGGTGTTGTGATGATCCTCTAAGACAAATACGGGTAGCTGTGGATGGTAGTATGGGCTCGTACTACTGAAAGCACAGGACCCGTACACATAACAAAGAAGTCACAACCCCTAGGGCTTTGTTGGGTGTTGGTTCCCCTGATATGATATGTGTATTATCTGATATCCTCCTGGTTTGTTTTCAGTATGGTGACTACACGACGATTTGAGGCTGGGTCCGGATCGGGATCAGGAGCTGGCAGTTCGGGTGGGTCATCTACGTTGGATGATAGGATCAGGGAGATCCTGCAGGAGGAGGTTGTTGCTCGATTCCGAGCAAGTTACCAGAGATGTTTGGGTCTATTAAGACCGTCATGATTGAGTAGTTTGATGAGCGTTATGCTGCTTTGTCCAAGACTGGTGCTGCTGCAGCCACCACAGTCGTTGCGGTTGCAGGGGTTGGATCGGGTCGGGTTTTTCAGTATCGGCGAAGCCCCCGACGTTCGATGGGGTGCAGGACCCGATCATAGCCATGATGTGGCTATCTGATGTGGAGGGATGTTTCTTCACCTGTTCTTGCCCAGCTGACCAGAAGGTCAAGTGCGCTCTAAACCTTCTGAGGACCGAAGCGAAGGATTGGTGGAGGCTTGCTACTAGTTCATTTTTTGCTAAGCAGAGAGGTGCTGTGTCTTGGGAGCAGTTCTCGGAGATTTTCCGCTCTTGATATGTGCCGTTGGTGGAGCGTGAGAGGTTGACCCAGGAGTACCAGGATTTAAGGCAAGGGACGGAGTCAGTGACGGAGATCACCTAGATGTTCACAGAGAGGGCTATGTTTTGTCCTGAGATTGCTGCATTTGAGTAGGCTCAAATGACCCGTTACTTGAGCATGCTCAAGACGGAGATCAGACAGTTTGTTTCCACCCATTGCTATGGTTCTTTTTTGGAGATGCAGGAGGCCGCCAGGCGGCATGAGATTGAGATTGATTTGCAGACGAGGGAGCAGAGCCCGGCCCCGACGCAGTCGCAGCCTGAGCCAAAGCGGCTTAAGGTCGTTGATGTCAGATCTGGGGGTCGGAGGGGCCGCACTTATGGGAAGTGTGGCAAGGTTCATGAGGGTGCTTGTCGATCATCTTCTGGGTGCCACAATTGTGGTCGGCAGGACCATATGGCAAGGGATTGCCGCCAGCAGGCCCCAACACTTAGTTCCAGGATTTCTTATCATTACTACCAAGTTGGCCATGTGATGGCGAACTGTCCCTCGCTTGATGCTAGGCCGACGCAGGCTCCAACGTTAGCTACTTTGAGGATCACTGTTGGGAGTCATGGCAAGGTGGAGCCCCCGAGGGCTCGAGGTCGCGCTTTCCAGCTCACTGCCGAGGAGGCCAGAGCAGCTCCAGATGTTGTGACTGGTATGTTTCTATCCATTATTATGTTGATTATGTTTATGTTATGCTTATCTGTGTGCCTCTGTTAGGTACGTTCCTAGTGAACTCTTTACCTGCTCTAGTGTTGTTTGACTCGGGTATGAGTTGGTCCTTTGTGTCTCGATCGTTCAGTAGAGAGTTTGATATGCCCATCGAGGAGTTAGAGTGCCCGTTGCGAGTTTCTATCGCCAACGAACACGGGGTTTCTGCATCATCAATGTATCATGGTTGTATTCTAGAGATCTTCAGGGTTCCTTATTTGATCGATTTGATCCCTATCCCCATGGGGGATGTTTTCATGATTGTGGATATGGATTGGCTGAGCCGTTTTGGTGCTATGATTGATTTTGAGGACCAGCGCATGGTAGTTCGAACCCCAAGTGGGGGAGAACTGGTTATCTATGGAGAGGGCATCGGGATAGGTTCAGGGTTTTGTTCTGCAGCCAGAGCTCGGCAGTATATTCAACATGGGTGTGCGGGTTACTTGGCTTATATGGTGGATATGCATGTTGGGGATCAGGTTTCAGTTTTATAGGTCCCAGTTGTCAGGGAGTTTGCCGATGTGTTTCCGGAGGAGTTACTCGGTGCGCCTCCTGAGAGGTAGGTCGAATTCAGGATTGACCTTGTGCCAAGTGCGGCACCGATTGCTAAGGCGTCGTACCACTTGGCACCACCTGAGATGCAGGAGTTGTCATCTCAGCTGCAGGAGCTACTAGGCAAGCAGTTCATCAGACCGAGCAGTTCTCTGTGGGGAGCGTCGATATTGTTCATCAAGAAGAAGGATGGTTCACACCGTATGTGCATTGATTACCAGGAGTTGAACAAGTTAACGGTGAAGAACCGTTATCCCCTTCCGCGGATTAATGACCTCTTTGATCAATTACAAGGTGCATCTTGGTTCTCCAAGATAGATCTGAGGTCCAGGTTTCATCAGGTCAGAGTGAGAGAAGAGGGCGTGGAGAAGACCGCGTTCCGGACTCGTTATGGGCATTACGAGTTCGTTGTGATGCTGTTTGGGCTCACCAATGCGCCGACAGTCTTCAAGGATTTAATGAATCGAATGTGCAGGACCGTGCTCGATCGCTCTGTTATTGTGTTCATTGATGATATCTTGGTGTATTCCATGACCAGAGAGCAGCATGAGGAGCATCTTCGTGAGCTTCTGGGGTTTTGAGGCAAGAACGACTTTATGCTAAGTTATCGAAGTGCGAGTTTTGGTTACGAGAGGTTCAGTTCCTTGGACACCTCGTTAACCAGGATGGGATATTGGTCGATCCGACCAAAATCGAGGCTGTGATGCAGTGGGAGGTTCCGAAATGTCCATCGGATATTAGGAGTTTCTTGGGTTAGGCAGGTTACTAGCGGAGATTCATTCAGGATTTCTCCAAGATTGCAGTACCCCTCATTCGTATGACGAGGAAAGGGGTGGATTTTTTGATGGGGCCCTGAGCAGCAATCAGCATTTGAGACCCTTCGACATAGACTTTGTGAGGCCCCGTTTTTGACCCTCCCATAGGAAATTGAGGATTTTATGGTATTATGTGATGTATCCATCACTAGTTTGGTGGCGGTACTCATGTAGAGAGGACAAGTGATAGCTTATGATTTGCGAAAGCTAAATCCGCACGAGACACGATATCCCATGCATGATCTAGAGTTGGGGCAGTGGTTTTTTGCCCTCAAGATTTAGAGGCACTATCTTTATGGGGCCCGCTGTACTATTTACACGGATCACAAGAGTCTGAGGCATATTATGGATCAACCGAACCTGAACATGAGGCAACGCAGGTGGCTGGACGTAGTCAAGGATTCATT